ATTGGGAATGTCACAGGTGCCTGCGATGTCCATTGCATTCCCTCCTCACACTCGCTGTCTTTACACTGTCCTCTTTGCAGAATAAATGATGGTTACTGTAGGAGTACTAGAAAATGTCTAAAATCCATGCACATAGGACAGGGGAACAACAGATGATATGTAAAGAAATGTGAGAAAAGTTTTTTTTAAACAATGTTTTATGGCTCATTTTAAATCACTGTAAAAATTTCAAGCTTTCTGTAACACGCTTTCATTTTTGCTATAAAGCAATCTTGCCACTGACACTGTAAAATGGAATCAATTTTTATTCATGGAATTCTGTTCTCAGAAGAATGCCTGTTGTTACCTAAGAATATTATTACTTGGATATTATTGATCCAAAAAGGTGATACCCGTGCATTACTTTTGATCTAGTTCCTTTTTCTTTGATATCAATAGGGATTTGCAAAGAAAATTACAGATGTGTCCAATAGATACACTTTTCCTACCTTAAAGATGTGATTTTATTAATTTATTTTCATTTTAATATGTGAAAGTCATATGAAGTAGATGATGAAAAAGATCAGTTGAACATATCTTTGCTTGTTTTTCAAAAAAGCTTGCATCTGTTAATAGATAATTTTCTTTCTTTCTTTTTTTTTTTTTTTGACAGGCAGAGTTAGACAGTGAGAGAGAGAGCGAGAGAAAGAGAGCAAGGTCTTCCTTCCATTGGTTCACCACCCCAAATGGCTGCTATGGCTGGCACACTGCGCTGATCTGAAGCCAGGAGCCAGGTGCTTCTCCTGGTCTCCCATGCGGGTGCAGGGCCCAAGCACTTGGGCCATCCTCCACTGCACTCCTGGGCCACAGCAGAGAGCTGGACTGGAAGAGGAGCAATCAGGAGAGAATCCGGCGCCCCGACTGGGACTAGAACCTGGGGTGCCGGTGCTGTAGGCGGAGGATCAGCCAAGTGAGCCACAGCGCCGGCCTAGATAATTTTCTAAATTACTAAATATATTTGACTATGGGTAATAAGCATGATGTGGAATAAGACTCTTACTCTCTCAGAAAGAACATCAGTAGGTTCTGTTGATTATAAACACATCCCTAAAATTTACAGCTAACGAAAATGCTTCTTAGCTCTGGTAACTGAGAAGGGCAAAAATTGTGGAGTTCACACAGCAGTCAGCAGCAAAGACAAATTGGTATTAGTACTCACTATACTGTGCTCATGTTTTTCCCAAGTTCTAAACCGCTTTCAGCTTCACAAAGTATTCACACACAGGCTGTCAGGGGATTTCAAGGCCACTGTCATCTCATGTTATCACTCAGGCTCTCATGGATTTTTCCCCCATCCTGCTTCCCATGTATCCACCCCTTTACCCCACCAACACTCATTGTGCTTGTTGTATATACGTAGGTGCTGCATGCGCCCGGCGCTGAACATCTTGCACAGAATAGGACACGGTTCCCCAACTGCAAGGAGCTTACAGTTTAGTGGGAGGGATTAATTGTAGGGAGGAACGATGACCTCGTGGTTACAGGCGTAAGACGGCATAGTCAACCTCAAGCATGCTGTTTCTAGACTGAACATACTTGCTTAGGTTGTTCATGATGCTTAGATGGAACTGTATGCCAGGAACAGTCAGTTCTCAAAAAAAAAACACAAGTGTGCATTTGAATTTCATGGTGTAACTACCACCACTGCAGCCAGTTTCCATCACCAGCATGAGATCACTGAGCACAGACGAGGGAGGAGATAAAAAAAAAAAACTGGGAAAGTGGCACACCATTTTGTAATATTTTCACTACCCAGGTCCAATAGGTATAAATAATTTTGAGAGCATACATGACAGTAAGATAAGTTGAAAGGGGTAATATTTGAGTGTTTATAACCTTTGCTTAACATTATTTATTTATTTTGGCTTATGCAATTTAGTTTTTAGTTATGACCTTGTTTAACAATTGACTTTCAAAATTACCTGCAGACTACCAAGCACTTCTTGAGGACCAAGTTAGTTTCAGTATGACACTGTGCTAGCTACAGTGTATTAGGTGTTACAGTTTTTAGTAAGATTTATTTATTTATACAGTTTTATTAAAATTTATTTATTTATTTATGATGCAGACACATGGAGAGAGCGAGGAGAGAGACAGACAGAGTGAGAGAGAGATAGAGATAGATAGATCTCATCCTCCCATCCATTAGTTCACTCTTTAAATGCCTTCAACAGCTGGGACTAGGCCAGGCCAAAGCCAGGAACCTGGCACTCAGTCCAAAACGCCCATGTAGATGCCAGTGAGCCAAATACTTAAGCGATCACCTGCTTCCTCCATAGGCGCACACACACTGGCAGGAAGCTGGAATTGAGAGCAGAACTGGGTAACCAGAACCTAAGCACTCTGATATGGGATGCAGGCGTAGCAAGTGGTGTCTCAACTGCTAGTCCACACACCTGCCCCTGTTACAGTTTTCCTAGCTGAGTGTGTCCTCTCACCTTTTTTAGACTGTGACTTGTATATCTTTGTGTCCTCAGACCCCTGCCCTCTACAGAGCCTTGAGTGTCATGATTCATTGAATTACAATGTTTCATTCATCTCAATGTTTCACTCAACTCTGTGTGCAAAGAGTCCTTTATTTTGAATATTATTTAAGCCCTAGGTCTGATTTTTTGTTTTTGTACAGAATGGAAAACAGAAGAGCACATGCATTATCAGAAGATTTCTTTGTGAAGCTTTTGTGCAAATAACACACGTTACAGATGCTTATAGCTTTGAATCATTAGCATAACATATGCTCCTGTTCAAAAATGGCGAATGTCTCTCCATTCTGAAACAGCTCATGTCTTAGCATTAACACTGTTATCTTAGGCTCAGAGTCCGATTATAGTGTCTGCACAAGGACTTCCATGGCAAAGGATGTGTTTTGAAAGCCATTGCTTTTGCTCGACCCAGACAGGACTGCTCAGAGCTGGTGGCGTTACTGCTGTCATTGCCATGGTCACCATTGCCCTGTCCTCATCATCATTACCAACAAGCGCTGTTTATCGAGGGCTATCATGTGCATCTCACTGTGACAGATACCATGCAAATCAAGTGGCACCAATGAGCCCTTGAAGGTCAGAGCTCAGATACAGAAGCAAGCAGTACTGTGGAAACAAAACCCTGCAATTTAAGTGCAGGAGATGGGTTGAGGAGGGTGGGGATGGGGATTAGGGTTAGATTAGGGAAAGAGCAATGAGACAGAAGAGGCAGAAGAGCTGCTAGTGGTAAGCTTCAGGAAACCCAATGAGTCAGGGAGTATGAGTGGAGCCCAGAGAGATCGTCACAGCCAAGGAGGAAGATGAAGGTGGGGGGAGGGAAGTACAGGGGAGAGACAGGAGGAAGAGGACAGAGAGATGGATGGTGAGAGACAGAGACAGAGAATGGAGTGAGGGACAGGAATGACTGAGAATAAGAGAAATAACACAGCAAGGCAGAAGAGAAGGAGTGAGGTGGGCTTTGAGGTATTTGGCCAGGGGTAAGGGGGGCATCTTTAAGCCTTTCAGTCACCTCCTCTCTGCTTCATTATGCCCCTCTGTTCTTCACCACCCCCTGGCCTATAGATTTGGGGCTCAGGAACCAAGTGAATGAGAAATAGACCTAACTCTGAAGCCCCAAATCCCCTGGCACTTAACGGCTGAATTCAGCATGGACTCAGGGAGAGTTTTCACTCCAGCCACTTAGAGTCACTGTCGTTATGATGTTTCCCAACTTTTGCCTTTTTATTTTTATTTTTTCCCAAAAGCAGTCTAGCACCAGTCCTAATCAAGGACACTGCCTGAAAACACCCTCCCCCTCCCCACCCCGGGGAGGGGGTGCAAGGTGGACCTTTGGTTCTCAAGGATGTTTTATCAGAGAGGAAAACCTGGGATTTGAGCTGCTCTATTATCATTGATAGAACTGCCAACCACAAATACGATGCACATTCTGTTGCCCGAGTTTAATTTACTATCTATTGATGTCTTAGATCCCAGGGATAACAACATTTCAATTCTGTGGCATTAATTTACTTCATTTTTCGGGGGAGTCAGAGAGTTAATTTAGAAGCCCAGTGCTATCTTCAGACACCAAGAGAATTTCTGTTAAAGTGAACATTGACACTTAAAAAAAAAACTTCATGAATAGATGAACACATTACAAAGGAGGAATACATTCTCTTCTGAAAGATGAGCTCTTTGAGGACTAGAGGCTGTTCCCTTTGATACAGAAATCAGTGCTTTGATTTATCGTCATTAGGCTGTCTGGTGGCTCTGCGGAGCCAGGAGCAATCGAAACCAGGGAAGTAAATGACACTGTTTTTCCTCTAGCCATTTGGTAATTTCCCATGAGAATTCAGAATCCCTGTTCTCAGGGGCTGAGGTTTTATGTGCCTTGTAGCTCTGGAGTTCTCACAGAGGCCACCAAGCGGCCCCAGGACACAGAAAGCAAAGGCAGGGAGGCCTGGAGTGTGGCTAGGGAGTGCAGTGGGCCAGGGCCCAGGTGTGGACGGCTGTCTTTTCCCTCCCAGGACCAGTGGCGCGGGCTCCTCTCCTGGGCTTAGGGCTCGCCAGCACTGTCTGAGGTCAACGCCTCTGACCTCACACAGGACTTCCTCTCAGCTTTGGGTGGCTGCTCTCCGCAGTGGAGGGCGGCCGCCCGGCAGCAAGTGGAAGCCCAAGTCTTTGCTCACAAGCATGGGGGAGTGGGGGGTCCCAGGGCCAGGGAGTGTGCTGAGCGCAGGAGAATGCCCTGGGACATCCTGACAATGATCACCCCGTTCAGGGAAGAGGAACGTGGTGGCAGTTCGCAGCAGCAACCTGCACTTGCTCTCTCGAGCATATGGAACTCAGTACTTGCACATGGCTGTTGAAGGGAGGGGCTGTGCCTTAGGACCCCGACCTTACCCAGGGTTAGGATGTGGGACAGAGCCCGTGGCTTTGGCCATCTCCACTGCGGGTTGCTGCTGACGTTTGGAAGGGTTCAGCGAACGGGGCTGTTACCTGGCGATCTTGTCTGTGCAGGACATGGTGACTAGCTGCTCTCCCAGCAAGACGCCGTCCCAGGTCTGGACTGCGCTGGGGCTCCGGACGGGGACTGTCCCTTCCCCGGACTCAATCTTGGTGCGCAGGTGCCCGCGGAACTTCCTGACGATGTGTTTGCTGCTGTTCACTAGGAAAGAAGAGGCGGTGAGAGGAGGTGAGGACACCTGTCCGGAGACACGGGGCTGCAGCTTTGAGAGGTGGGACAGGAAGTGCGACAGGACGCTGGGCATGAGAAGACAGGCTTTGGAAGTACATGCCCAGGTGTGTGTGTGTGTGGGTAATTCCCTCAATTCACCAGGAGCACTGTTAAGAGCTGGACTCTAGAGCAATATTAGAAGCCAGAGGTTGGCCAACATTCCTGTCAAAGACAGGACTTTGTGGGCCATATTGTTTCTGTCAGCACCACCCAGCTCTGTTGTGGGTCCACAAAAGCAGCTCGGGAGATTCATAAACGAAGGAGCATGGATGGCTCTCAGTACTTGATTTATAGACCCTGAGCTTCAAATATATAATTGATATGTAATTTTTTGCATGCCATGAAACACAGCTCTTCATACCCAGGGGTTCCACATCCATGGATTTAACCAACTATAGATTGAAAATAGTCAAGGGTCTGGCATTGTGGCACCGTGGGTTAATCTGCCACCTGCAATGCCAGCATGCTGTATCTGAGTGCTGGTTCACGTTCCAGCTGCTCCACATCAGATCCAGCTTCCTGCTAATGAGCTTGGGGAAGCAGTGGAAGGTGGCCCAGGTATTTGGGCCCCTGCATCCATGCAGGAGATCTTAGTGAAGTTCCAGCCTCCTGGCTTTAACCTGACCCAGGCCTAGCTAGTGCAGTCATTTGGAGAGTGAACCGGAGGATGAAGATCCATCTCTCTCTCTGTCTCTCTATCTCTGACTCTCTTCCTCTTCCCCCATCGTGTTTCCCTAAATAACACAGCTATCCATACAGCATTCATATTTTATTAAATATTATAAGTAATTTAAAGATGATTTAAATTATATGGGAGGGATGCTATTTATAGGCTGTGCAGAGGATATTTCAAAATGTTAATGCAAAAATAAAATTAAAAGATACATTTATTTTGGTGCTAACATTTGAAGGCTAGGCACAGTTTTTCATCAAATGATTTCCATGAACTTTATGAAGAGCCCCTGGTATGTAAATACTATGTCAGTTTATGTAAGGGACTTGAGCAAAATCTGCTGATTTTGGTTCCATGGAGTTATGAATCAGTTCCTCATGGATACTAAAGGATAGCTGCATTATTATTTTTACATTTCCAGTCATTGAAAAATTTAAAAACCATGCTAAACATTTGGGCCATACAGAAATAGGTGGTGGGTGGGATTTGGTCCTCACTATGGTATGGATTTTAATCCTGGCTCTATCATGTACTGTGTAATCTTGGGAAAGTAACTTAAAACAGTTATTTCCTCTCAAAAATTGGGATAACAATAGTGCCTAGCTCCTAGGCTATGAGGATTAAATGAACTTGCACATGTGGAAGCACTAGGATAGATTGGAGCACCTCAGCTCTTCTTATGCTCCATTTATTACCAAGGCTCTAGCTGGGGCAGCCACTCTGCTGGGTCTGGAAGTGATGTGGCCCCAGGAGGGTCTTCATGCATCCATTATATGTCCTGTATCCTCCTCCCTTCTTTTCTGAAGCTTCCTGATACACACTCACCCTCAAACACCATACCTCATACCCTAGCAATTTTGGAGAACTAGTATGAACAGGAAGAAACTTACATTTATTTTTTCTTTCTTTAAAAATTCTGTATATTAAGTCTGGGTTATGTTTTACTATGGGGATGGTTAGCTCCTTTGCATACAAACTACATATAAGATAGTGTAGTGATTCCAACATTGAGATACATAGTTTACATCAATGAATATTAGATACTTCCTTTAAAAAGCTTCTGTTTAAATTTCAGAAGTTGTGGAAATGGAATTTTTCCCTTTTTGCCCTCACTGGAAGTGCTGAGTAATAAATACCACTTGAATTGATGTGGGAGCTTTCTCCTATAGGCCTCAAGGTACTTTCTAGTGTACTTTCTTGTTGTTTCTGAGGAGAGAGGTTCCTTTACTACACATTTGTGTTAGCAAAGGCTATCTTTTAGGAAGAAAGATGGCTACAATGCTTGGGGAAAGTAGACTCTGAGAGGTTTCAGATGGCTTTCTTGTCCTGTAACCAATCAGATGCTCGGTGAAACCCAACTTGGACTGGCTTATGAGTCATCCATAGAAGAAAGAACCAAGGGGAGTGACTGATCCTGGCTGGCATGATGAACAAATGCCTACGCTCCCCTAGGTAGAGTGTGTCTCTTCTTTACAACTCTAAATGGAACTGGGATAAGATGACAATGGTGATGGTGTTGTTGATGATGGTGATGGTGGAATTGGGATGGTGATGACTGATGGTGGTGGTGAGGATTGTATTGATGATGATGACAAAGATAGCAGGAGTGACAATAAGGAAGATTATAAGACAATGATGGAGATATGTTGGTGATGATAATCACAATGATGATGATAATCTGGGTGTTGACGGTGATGATTGTATATTGAACATAAAAAAGTACATATGACCCAAAAACACATGGATAAATCTTTAAACGTGAATTTTTATACTGTTTGGGTGAGGGAAGGATGGGTCCCTTTATCACTATCGACTTTCTGCAGTTAGTAGCATTGGAAGAGTGGAGGAGCCAGCACATCTAACAGTTTCTATGATGTTGGGGACTTAACTCTTCATTTGGGAGAATTTTCTCAGGGAGCATGGTGCTTGCGGTCCCTTTAATTTCTGTCAGTTATAATGTCCTTATTTTTTCCCGTCACTTCGACTATTGTGTCATTTCTAGACCTCAGAAGTTGTGCATGTTATTAGAAAACCTTTCTAGATTCTTACTCATGTCTCCTGCACAGCTGCTTCCAGGAAGTAGACTTTGTTAATGCCATGACAACAGAGAGAGGTGACTGGAGTTAACAAGTGCTTTCCAGGAGTTACCCCAAAGTTTTTAGTTTGGATGGGTTTTGCCTAAAGAGCCAGGTGTATGAGATACTTCCGAGAGTATTTATTTTTGAAAGTGCTGTGTCTCAGGCTGCCTTCTCTAGTGCACATCCTGATGAGTGTGATCACCCCCAGGGCGAGTCTGAGTGTGGGTGATCTTATAGAGCTCATTTCCTTTGGTTCTTTCCTGGCTAATTGCGAGAGGCAGGAGGATGTTGAAGATGCCACTTCAAGTAGAATGAAATGCCAATCTAGCTAGTGATTGCAGAGAACTGAACTTAAACATCTGACAGTGTGCCTGAGACAGTGGAAGTGTGAAATGTTAAAATCCAGCCTGCTGTGCATACATAAATACTCCAAAATCCATCAGAACTTTCTAGTCCAACTTTGACACTGCAAAGCACCAGATCCTTGTTACTCTGTTTGCTAATAGAAAATCTTTACCTTTTGAGACTGATGGCAATGTGCAGTGTAGATGTTTTATAAAATTGTTCAGCTGAATATTTTTAGGGGACCATACAAAGAAGATGGTGATAAATGACAGGATATACACTCCCTTGGGATCTAAAATTTATTTAAAAAATGATGCAGGGTTGCTACCATGGTATAGTGAGAGAAAGAGTCAAAGATGGAAGTAAAAACCTATCTATAAGATAAAGGAATGGAAGAAAATATATGTAAACGCCAAAATAGCTTTATCTATAAGATAAAGGAATGGAAGAAAATATATGCAAACGCCAAAATAGCTTTTAAAAACTGTATTCATAAGGTGTATCCAAGAATGTATATCTGTGAAGTAATCCACTATTTATAGTAATAATAAATCTGTAACATTTCCCATGTAGTCACGTCGATGACCTTTGCCTTATTTGATGATGATGATGATAATTAGGATGTTGAATTATGAAGCCATTAAAATTCATTATCCTACAATGCATGGATATTACTGTACACTGTATGTTTCTATAGTACAGTAGGAAATAGGAACACAGGAATTTAAGGAACTGTATCTTATATTCCCTGACTTTCTATTGGATTTCGGTACAATCTCTTAGACTGCATTTATTTATAAATAAATGAATATACACATAAATATATAAATATAAATAAATGAGTTGGCTTTGAACAAATGTACAGGAACTTAGCATAAAGTTGTAGATAAATATACGAGATAGCCCTGCTGTTCTTCATGCATCTTGTGGGAGATACACTGGGTAATTTAGCTAATCTGTTAAATTCTTGGAAAAATGGTATTAAGAATGGAATTCTACCAATTTTTTTAAAAAAATCATTTAGGAAAAGGAATTTGCGGTAAGATTGTTGGTGGTTTGGAAAGAGGACAAAAGCTGTTGAAACACAGTGAAAGGCTCTAGATTCTTATATTTTTTTGCTTGCATCTAGGCTTTTGTCAGAATATTCTTGGTTCTAGTCCAGACCTCTCAGAGCCACGAAGGGAGTGGAGTCATCCTCCCGGAGTCTGGAGGGAGCCTCATCCTTCTATGGAGAGGGGTTGTATAAACTCAGAGTCCTGTGTGTGCAGAGACCGTCTCTGAATCAACTTTTCATTTGTGGTGCATGCAGCATGCCAGTCAATGCATTTCCTGCCTTCCCACCACAGAGTTCTGCCACAGAGCTTTGTGTGACCTTTGCAGGTCTTCTACCGGGTCTTCTCCCTGAATATCTTTCCATCAAGCCAGCAAGGAAATAAATGCCTAATATGGACAGAAAAGATCTAAGGGAGCTCAAATCCGGTGGCTCAAAACATGCCTAATGTCCAGAAACTACAGATCCTTGCAACCCCCCAACCCCTCCTCGGCTAATGCATCAGAATCTTGGCCAAGGAGCACGAGGTGGGAATTTGGATTTGAACAAACTTCTCAGGGGACCGTGATAGACAAACCAAGCATGGAAACAATGGAATCTAATATAATTCTAAACCTGCAGGCAACATATCTCCCCGAATATCTTGGGTCAGTTTGCATTGATATAAGAATTGAAGACTCCAGGGATGGATAATTCATGATCTATCTAGCTGAATGTTTATTTTTTTGGGGGGGATAAAAATGAGGAATATGAAATTTCTGAGGGGCAGCGCCGTGGCTCACTAGGCTAATCCTCTGCCTAGCGGCGCCGGCATACCGGGTTCTAGTCCTGGTTGGGGCGCCGGATTCTGTCCCGGTTGCCCCTCTTCCAGGCCAGCTCTCTGCTGTGGCCAGGGAGTGCAGTGGAGGATGGCCCAGGTGCTTGGGCCCTGCACCCCATGGGAGACCAGGAAAAGCACCTGGCTCCTGGCTCCTGCCATCGGATCAGCGCGGTGCGCCAGCCGCAGCGCGCCGGCCGCGGGGGCCATTGGAGGGTGAACCAACGGCAAAGGAAAACCTTTCTCTCTGTCTCTCTCTCTCTCACTGTCCACTCTGCCTGTCAAAAAAAAAAAAAAAAAAAGAAGAAATTTCTGGAGCCACAGGCATCCCAGGGAAGTGGGGCTCTATGGCAACACCAGGGCTCTGGTGTCGTCTCTTAGATGTCTGCCCTCAGGGGGTTCAGATGGATCAGCAGACTTTGAGCTAGGGGTCTCAGGGGGCTCATGAAACCTTTAGAGCTTTCAGGATAGCTGTGTCTTCAGAAAGGTCCCCAGCCAAAGGAGTCACTCTAAGACTGCTCAGGAGTCAAACATTTGCTCCTAAAAATTCCAGATCAGACTCAGATCTCTCATGGGCCTTCTAGTGATATGATGTTTGCTTTAATGGTTGTTTAACACTATCTAGGAGCCCTGATGACGACCTCAGGGGAATGGACTGAACATGTCTGTGTTTTGCAGTCTCAGTGTTTGTGAGCGTAATGACATAGCTGTGAGTTTGGGGGATAGTAGATCCATAGAACATGGACCCTGGGCTTCATTTGGGAACATGGGCCCCTGAGCTGGTGCTGCAGAGAGGCTGGGGTTTCTATGGGTTTAACCAATAGAAGGTAAATGGTGCTGGCTGCTGACTTCTGAGAATAGTCCTAACTGATGTTTTCTCAGCTCCCTGCATCAAACCTTTCCTGCCATTCATACAGATGCCATGGCACTTGCATCCCTGTATACAGCATCCCAGCCCTCCTTGAAGGGTAGCAATGAGAAACACTGCATAGATCAGCACCATGGAGAGCTCCCACCCCTCTTGCTTTCAGGGGAACCTGGTGCTCTAAGTGGAAGCTGCAGAAGATATTCCTGGGCATCTCTCTGAAGGTCCCGTTCAGGCAGAGGACAGCTGGCATTTGGGTTTTCTTGCCCCTTATGGAGTGAATAAGAGAAAGGTGATGCATGACTTTTGGCCAACAAGTCCACTTTACAAATTTGCCAGGTGCCTATCTTCTCTGCTCTCCCGGATAGGAGGCGTTGGGGAGAGATGCCAGCCTAACTCCGAACCACAAGGCAGGCGGTGGCATCTCATTTGTGCCTGGCATAAAGGCAGCACAAGTGGGAGAAAAATGCTTTATTTTTTTCTCCTACAAGCACCTGCCACTTCTCAAAAGCACCATGAAATAAAAGACATCTGTGTCTGGAAGTGAACCCCAGGGTGCCTCCGAGGATGTATTTGTTTGTTTTTCTAAACTACTGACATTGCAAGTTGGAGTTAAGGGCTGGAGAAGCCCCAGTTGTGCTTGATGTACAGAGACAGGGGAAGCCCAATGAGCTAGAACTGTCTCTTTGGAGACCAGCGGGTGTCAGGCATGGCTGGGGCTCCTGCTGTCCTCACTCGGCCCTCTCCTGATTCTTGCAGGGACACAGGGACCAAATAGGAGCTGGATAAGCTATTCCTAACTGCAAATGCTTTGCAGAACTTCCTCCCAGCACTTGGGAGCTCCCAGGTTCGGTCTTCCTGAGAAAAATGGAGAGTGATATCAAGTGGACAAAATTTAATGATTTTATAGGATCAATTTGTATCATGTAGGTCTAGCTTGATGAGCATTTACAAGGAAAACAATTCAGCTCCATGGTGTTTTCCTGTCTTTCTCTTTCCGAGAGCTGCACAGTTGTGCAGGAATGCCCTACACGATCCCACTGGAGACCTGCATGCTTCCTCTTCCCACTGAGGAAGAGCTGTGGTCACTTCTCACATTGTCCAGGCAGGCCACTCCAGCTCTGTCTCCCTTCTGTGGGCAGTTCCTTTAATGATCTGGCATGTATTGGGCTCTCTTTTCTAGATTCTCCATTTAACTTGATTGTCCCATTTACTCTGCAACGGATGTGAAATGTCCTTTAAAATTCTGACATGGGGAATCCCATCCGATCACTCTCCCAAGGGGAGAACGAGAGGTTGGAGAAAAGCCAAAAATCGTAAAGGAGTATGAATTTCTCTGGTCTGACATCCATTCTGAGGACTTGAGGAATAGGCTGAATACAAATAGCATTAAAAAAATTCCCCTTCCCGCCCCCACCTTCTTTATCTTTGGTGGTGGAACTTGTTACAAGCCTGGGAAACAACAAGACACTCAGCAAATGTTTATTTTTCCTTTAGAAATTAGAACACAAATGTAGACTTCCATAGGAAGAAAACCAGAAGGCCCATAGCAAGCCTTTATAACTGTGCACTGTCCATGGTATTTCTACTGGAATGTCCTCTGAACACAGAATAAGCCTTCTGATGTTTCAACACTGGACCAGATCTTTCACTATATACACATATTTATTTATGTTTTGGTGTAAAATATTTTTGTATTTTATTTAGCTGGAATGAAAAATCCAAAATGTTTTGCCTGTGATCATATCTGAGTGGTAGAAATACATATACAGCTATTTAACTTCACTGCTTATGTTGGAAGCTGTTCCTAGGACTGCTTCTGGAAAGGCCTTAGAGTGTGAGTGTGTGGGGTCTCTAACTACACGTGCACATATGTACGTGCAATATATAGACATACAGCACCAATAATAGAATTTCATCTTGTGCTTAAAGAGAGGTGGAGTCATCTCTGGACATATTTTCTTCTACGTGGAGATGCTGAGACCATCAGTGTGACACCAAAAGCAGAGACCTAATCTTGTTTCCACTCCCCCCACCCCACCCCGAGTATTCAGTGTCACCAGTTCTTGCTGACAGAGATGACCAATAAGACTCAAGGGCACATGGTGCCTTCTTTCTCTCTCCACTGATGAATGCTGACAGGGTGGGGTCAGCTGGGGCTGGGGGTTCAACAATGGAACTTGGTGTTAACTTGGGGAGGCACCTTTGCTAGGTGTCATTCACCCATGGCTTACTGATCAAAGCTGAGCTTTATTTTCTCCAAAATTGCAAACAAAGGCAAAGAGAGCCAGTTTGAATTTGCTCCCACCCCATATCATGTTCATTTCCCTTCTCCTTCATTCTGTTCTCTTGCCTGGGATATAGGAATTGTTTGATCTAGTAAAATGAAGTGGAGAATTGTGGCAATTAAATAACTAATTTCAGACCTCAAACTACTCTTCTGCCAGTGCTCTGGGCATTGCAGACTAAGACTTGGAGGTAGGATTATCCAGTTAATTGCAGATGCAATCCACTTCTAGCATCTTAGGGCCCTGGCCATGCTGAACACAGGGTGCTTTGGTTCCGATAGGCTCAGCCAGGGAAAGGAGAGCTTGGGAACTGTTTGTTTACAAAAGGTAAGAATGCTGTCTCTTACGGTCTGTGGTGATCTCGTAGGGAGAGTTGAGTCTTGCGTCTCCGCAGGGGGAAGTGCTCACGTACAGGTGGAAGAGAATGTTGTCTCGCAGCCGATAGCCTCCCTCCTTTAACCGCACAAATATCGATCTCTCGGAGTCCTCTCGCCGCTTGCTAGGGTCACAAAGAGGTTCCGGGTCATTTGTTACAAACCAAACCAGAAATGTTCCCAACAGGTAAATGCTTTTGTCCTGTCTTGCAGAGTGGTGCCCCATTGATTTCCTCCTTTATACTCCATACTGTGGTTTCTCCTTGCACCAATGCTTCTAGAATGAGTAACAATGAAACCACGTGAGCGCAAACACAGTCAGCAGCGACCCTGCCATCCTCACCCACCCTTAACATTTATATTTCAGGTTTACCTTTCATAAAGCCAGCATCCATATGTTCATAAAATTTGTTAATCCTACAGATTCACAAACACTCCAAAGGGCAACATCTCACAGTGGATTGGTGACTTGACAAAGCTTCCAGGTGCAACCCATGTGTGTATTACAGGGAAAAGAGATTTTAAAAGGAGATTGAGCTTGGCAGCCAGAATGACCAGGTCATGACAGTAAGGAGTGAGGAACCCACTTTTCCTCTGCAGCCAACCAGGGTAGATCTGAAAAAAAATCCTGGGTCTCCTAACCTTGGAGGGACACAGGCTGTATGCCCTTGGGAAACCTCCGCACTCACCCCTGAAACTCATATTGGAGCGGCCCCACCTTAGTCTCGCCAGAGCCTGCAGTGAGCCTTGCACAAGTGGCTGCATTCCTGTTTCCCCTCCTGGATTTCATTCTGCCTGCTTCCTAGCCGTCTACATTCTGCCAGTCTTGCTGTTTTTACATGTTCTGCCCCATTGGTGATGGATTCTGTTTTGCTGGGCTCTGAGACTTCACAGGCAGCAGAACAGATATTTTCTCCCCAGGAAACCCTGGAGGCGTCTACCAGCCTTTCTGCCTCTATGCTTTGGCTCCTTCCACTCTCCCCTCGCCCGCCCTCTGCCCCAAAACACCCTGCCTGCATAGATGTGAAGAAGGCTGTCTTCTCTGTGCCCCCTCGGAGCAAATATGCCTCTTCCCTGGGCTTCTCAGTGCAGAGCCGGGCAAGCTACATGGCTGTGCTTGAACCTTGTTCCATTTTTCTGGCTTTTTGTGGTCACTGCTGGAGCCCCCGTGCAGGGCAGGAACCAGGCTACGGTTGTCTTTGAATTCCTCCCAGCTGGCAGCACAGTGCTGGGCATACAGCCAGCTCTTGGTAAGCGTTGGCCCGGTTGCCTTCTATGACACACACAAGAGATAAGGGTACTCGGAAATATTTCCAACTGAGCAGTTGGATATTCAGGAAAAAATCTTTCCCCACATTCTGAGAGATTTCCAAGTCCATTCTCCAACGTCTAACTCTGGCCGCACCCTGGAACTGAAGTGGCAATATACTAGGCTGCCGCTCACTGCTGAGGCTCAGATAAAAATTAATTGAGTGTATTAAGGTATTGCTTTTATGTGAGTCTGTTTGGCGTACATTTGGGCCGTTTCCCCCTCTGTGTGGCTTCTGCACGTGCTCATGGGCATGGATGTGTCACTCACTACAGCCCTCCTGAGATCCCATTGTTAGTGGATTTGAGGAGCACTACTTCATTTTAAAATTTTTTTATTATTTATTTTTTTTGACAGGCAGAGTAGACAGTGAGAGAGAGAGAGACAGAGAGAAAGGTCTTCCTTTTGCCGTTGGTTCATCCTCCAATGGCCACTGCGGCTGGCGCGCTGCGGCCAACACATCGCGCTGATCTGAAGCCAGGAGCCAGGTGCTTTTCCTGGTGAGGAGCACTACTTCAAAGGATTGGAAAGGGCTGCTAAGAGAGGTGAGGAAGGAACATCTTTGGCAATGAGGCTAACGGTAGTCACATCACTGGCATTAAATAGCCCCATCCAGGAACGCATCTGAGCTGCCAGACCTACGGACGTACATGTCCACTTCTGCTTCTGCTCCTGTTTAGTATGTCTTAGAGACGGGTGCCAGCCTGCCTCTTCCTAGAGCAGACTGCCACCAGAACCCTAGAAACTCCAACACTGGAACACATTTCTGGGGTTCTCAATGGCCTCTTTGTTCCAGAACACCCTTACTAAAAAAACCATAAGCTTGGAGGTGGAGGCACAAAACAGGTAACCTCTCAAAAGCCAACAATAGATGCTTTAGTCACATCACCTAAGGATGAGGTCTAGAAAATGGGACACATTTGAGAATGTGGCATACAGAGAGAACTGGGTCAGGAGAGGGTGACCTTGCCCAGGAGGACAAGGGCTGGCAGGTACTGAACGCCAGAGGCAAACCTGCCACTGTGTCTGATATGACAAGAGCTGGGACTTGTCCGGTGGATACTGAGCCTGTGGCTTGAGGACGAGGCCTGGGGACCAAACAAAGTGGCACCCTGTCTCTGGCATCTTGGAGGGCGTCCTGGCCGTTCTTACAGAAGCTCTGGACACGTGAAGAGGTTTCCTTGGCTGACAAACTCTCAAAACAGGGCTGGCAAGGGAGAAGAGAGGCTCTCTGTCTGTTGGAAATAATGAAGCCTGGGTTCAATTTGAAGTGGATATAATTTCGTGAAAACTGAGCAGAGAGGTTGACTTCAGCCTTGCACCTTTGCTTGACTGAAATGCCCCTTTCCCAGGGAGCAGCTGACATTGATCTGAGTAACCTCACAATGTAACTCAACACACTTTCAGTTCAATCAGTGCTATGCTGGGTCTCAGAGAGCAAGAGCGCCCATCTCCCAAGACACTACATGGTTTTTGTTTGTTTTCTTTTCTTTATTTCTTTTTAACATAAAGCTTGTTCTGGGCTTAGAACCTGGAGGCTGTGGTGCAAGAGCATTGCCTTGATACAAGTCCACAGTAAGGGGATGCAGTTTAGGCTGGAACTGGGTGGGTTCCTCCCTGTGGGAGAACATCCTTATGCCTCTGTAGCTGGTGCTGTCATCTTCTTATCCCATTGGTGTTTAGAGTTTGAATAACTAACTGGAGAAATACCTTGGAGGGATATTGACAGCATGGAAAATACAGAGATAGCTGTCTTGTGAAGAGATCTTTAACAAGGAATCATCTCAAATGTCCATCAACTCATGACTGGATAAGGAAATTATGGCATATATATGCTACGGAATACTACTCAGCTATAACAAAGATTTAAATCCTGCAACAAAATGAATACAACTGGAAACCAGTATACTTAGTGAAATAAGCCAGTCTCCAAAAGACAAATACCATATATTTTCCTGATCTGTGGTAACTAATAGAGTGCCAAAAATGTAATGCATAGGAGTGAAATTGACATTTTTAGCTTTGATGATTGTTTACAGCCCCAAACAGTGTTTTTTCCCCCTTCTTACTATTTGTTAAACTCTTAGTGTAGGTTTAATCTTATCAGTATAAAGTAAACTGAAAGTAAATCATGGCCGGCGCCACGGCTCACTAGGCTAATCCTCCGCCTTGCGGCGCTGGCACACCGGGTTCTAGTCCCGGTTGGGGTGCCGGATTCTGTCCCGGTTGCCCCTCTTCCAGGCCAGTTCTCTGCTGTGGCCTGGGAGTGCAGTGGAGGATGGCCCAAGTCCTTGAGCCCTGCACCCCATGGGAGACCAGGATAAGTACCTGGCTCCTGCCATCAGATTAGCGTGGTGCGCCGGCCGCAGTGCGCCGGCCGCAGCGGCCATTGGAGGGTTAACCAATGGCAAAGGAAGACCTTTCTCTCTGTCTCTCTCTCTCTCACTGTCCACTCTGCCTGTCAAAAAATAAAAAAAAAAAGAAAGTAAATCATTGTACAAATTAACAGAAGGATTAGGAGAGAAAGGAGGAGGAAGGGTAGGAGCATGGGTGAGAGGGAGGGTAGGGTGGGAAGTATCACTATGTTCCTACATCTGTATTTATGAAATACATGAAATTTGAATACATTAAATAAAATTTAAAAGATAAGAAAATAAAAATTTAAAAAGGAGGGCTTTACTCTGGCCTCAGAATCAGCCCTTAAGGCATTTGGATCTGGCTGAAGAGCCCATGAGAGTGTTTTAGGCATGGAAACCCAAGACACTCTGGCAAAAAAAAAAAAAAAAACAAAAAACAAAAAACACCACACCCTAAATGAAAGATCTCTGTGAGTGAGATCCCAGTAGAAAGAATGGGCTATCAAAGAAAGAGGTACCTTTCTCTGAAGGGAGGAGAGAACTTCCACTTTGACTATGACCTTGTCTAAATAAGATCGAAGTTGGTGAACTCAAAAGGCTTCCATAGCCTTGGCAACTCATGACTAGAGCCTAGGGAGATTACTGACACCATAAACAAGAGTGTCAAATTGTTAAGTCTACAACAGGAGTCACTGTGTACTTGTTCGTCATGTGGGATCTCTGTTCTTAATGTGTTGTCCAGTGTGAATTAATGCTATAACTAGTACTGAAACAGTATTTTACACTTTATGTTCTGTGTGGGTGCAAACTGATGAAATCTTTACCTAATACATACTAAACTGATCTTCTGTATATAAAGAGAATTGAAAATGAATCTTGATGTGAATGGAATGGGAGAGGGAGCAGGAGATGGGAGGGAAGTTTTGGGGGGGGAAGCCATTGTAATCCATAAACTGTACTTTGGAAATTTATGTTTACTAAATAAAAGTTAAAAAATAAATAAATAAATAAATAAAAGTGAAAAAAAGAAAATCTTGATGTGAATGGAATGGGAGAGGGAGCGGGAGATGGGAGGGGTGCGGGTGGGAGGGAAGTTATGGGGGGGGAGCCATTGTAATCCATAAGCTGTACTTTGGAAATTATATTTACTACATAAAAGTTAAAAAAATAAAAAGGAAGGCTTTAATTTGTGGGGTTCTTAGTGATGCCCTGAATGTTTTAAAGGAGAAAAATCAAATGGGATGACCATGCCAGAGTGTGTGCCTGTGTGTGCCTGCATGGTGTGTGCGTAAAATTCATAGGCAGACAGGCTGTTTCTGCAAAGAGACATGATTCCCTTTCTGTTTCCTGGCTGCTCACCAGCTGCAATGTGTCAAGAGCCTCAGCAGCCCAGAAGACCACCCAGCCCGCCAGCCCCCTGGCAACGGCCCCTTTACCTGAGGTGCAGCTCCAGCTGTGCGTAGAGGAAGTGCAGAAATGCCCTCCTGGCCACAATCTCTGCGTGGCAGTCATTGACCACCAGCCCCTGGTCATTGATGTGCTCTCCGCTGATGCACTTGGTCCCTGAGGACAGGACGATGACCTGTGCCTGTCTGGCGTCCAAGCCTGGGGGACACAGAGCGTGGTCAGAACAGCCCAGGCTTCCTCCCCTCCCCCACTCCACCCAACATGGGACGAATGGGAGGCTTATCACCACTGGCGGCCTTGCTCTCTTTGACTTGAACAAAAGCCCTGATGCTGACCAGGATATGATGTGCATGGTAACGTTTGATTCATTCTGGGGTTTGTGTAAAATGAAGCAAGATGGTACCTGTAGGGTTTTGTTTTGTTCGTGGTGTGGCTTTCACACTTGCACCCCTAGAAGACAGGCTGATGACATTTTTTTTTTTGACAGGCAGAGTGGACAGTGAGAGAGAGAGAGAAAGGTCTTCCTTTTTGCCGTTGGTTCACCCTCCAATGGCCGCCTCTGCCTGCACACTGCGTCTGGTGCATCCTGCTGATCCAAAGCCAGGTGCTTCTCCTGGTCTCCCATGCGGGTGCAGGGCCCAAGGACTTGGGCCATCCTCCACTGCACTCCCGGGCCACAACAGAGAGCTAGCCTGGAAGAGGGGCAACCTGTACAGAATCCGGTGCCCCGACCGGGACCAAAACCCGGTGTGCTCGCGCTGCAGGCGGAGGATTAGCCTAGTGAGTCGCGGTGCCGGCCAGGCTGATGACTTTACTTTCAAGACTCTGTTGATGTCTCAAGACCTAGACCAACGTGCTCACCTTTTTTTTTGCCAAATTGCTGCACCTGACATGCTGTTTATTTATCTGATGGGAAATGGGGGAATTTGCATTTCCCCTATTTCTGCGTAGGAGTCGGGGAAGGGGAAAAGGTGATAGAGACAGGACAATGACCTGCCACTGAGGAGGAGACACAAGGCCACTGTCACACCCAGCTCTGGGGGAAGAGGGAGCCCAGTAGCTGCTGGCTTCCGACTGAGATTCTAAAGGAGAGGAGGGAAAGACCCTTAGGCTCAGGTGCTGTAATCATCCAGACTCTTCCCAGAAATTCTGCGGTCGCCTCATCTTCCAAGGCGACAATGGCATCTTCACTGGAAGACTGGCTGATGGGAATGTGTTAGGCACAGAAGGTAGCTGAAGGCACAAGACAGGCTCCAGAGCCTGAGGCCCCGCCCTACAGACACAACTGTAATCACCAGTGAGGCACTGCCGGAGGCTTAGCAGGGAGATACTTGTGCACATTTGGGGACTGTGTGGTGTGCACTTGCTTCACCTCCCCGCAGGGGAGCCCAGCTGTTCCTCAGGGCCTCAGGATTCAAGGGAGCAGCTGAATGCATGTGTCTGGTCCCCCATACCTTTCATTCCACACACACATTTTTCTCAGTCTTGTTCCACAAGGCATGCTCTTGCGTGGTGTGCAGACACCCGCCTTTCCCATTGTCTCTCACCTTAACTGGGGCTTGTTCTAGGTTCGAGAAAATCTCTAAATCTGCGGAAGTCAAGGTCCAGCGGTTTGGAGCAGTCAGAAGTGTGTGATGTCATGCACACAGAGATCTGTACCTTACGAGCACTTATAAAAAGCCTAACATGGCCATAGGAACACAGCTCAGGCTGAACAGTGTGAGTTCTTATTAATATGGTGGCAGGGCTGCTTTCCAAACACATGGCCTTCCAGCATCACGTTCCACAGGCTAACGCTGGGGCCAGAGGAGTGGTGCCTTGTGGGTGCAGCCCCTCCCTCACATGTTTCCCTTTCAACAGGTGAATGGTCGTGGGTGATGTGACCACGTGCACACGGAGGCCACTGCACCTGGCAGCTCCTGGGTGGGAGCTTCTTGTGATCCTGGCAGCTGCTGCAGAACCAGGCTTGGTTTATTTCTGGGACCACATTGAAGAGCTGTGTCTACGGGATGCATCTGATATTTCCCGAACCTTACGCCCAAGGATGATGTTGTAAATCAGTAACGACAGTGAAAAGAGGTGGAGTTTCCGATTTTAAACTGCAAGATTTTCCACTTCCCTTGAAGAGCCACAGGATGGGTGGCAGAGAGGGAGCAGGTGGTAGAAATGCTGGCACTTTCTGTGTCTTTGCGTGCATGTGTGGTACATATGTATGTGTGCGCGCACATGCGTGTGTGTGTGTGTGTGTGTTAGGATTCATGGCAAAACCAATGTCTCCTCCAATGTATTCTTGCTTCTACCAAATGAATCTTTGAAAAGTGCCCCTGATTTATAATCTGTGATGACTATTACTCATAGCAAACCTGTTGTTTTTAGTCCTATGTATGTATATCCTGAAATCGATTACTTAATTTTTTTCTACTAGGCCACTCCATAATTAAATGTACCTTTTATCTGGTTTTAAATTTAATTTTTAAAATTATTTATTTATCTACTTATTTGAAAGCCAGAGTTACAGAGAGAGAGAGAGAGAGATCTTCCATCCACCTGTTCACTCCCCAAATGGCCGCAATGGCCAGGGCTGGGCCAGGTGGAAGCCAGGAGCTTCATGGGGTCTCCATGTGGGTCCAGGGGCCCAAGCACTAGGACCATATTCCACTGCTTTCCCAGGTGCAGGGAGCTGGATCAGAAGTGGAGCAGCCGGAATTCAAAACAGCCCCCAGAGGTGATGCTGGTGCTGCAGGAGGAGACTTAATCTACTGCAGCCCAGCACCAGCCCCTTAAATCTAAATTTTGAAGCATGTTAACTGACACACTGTATCTACTTACTTAAGGGGTATAGTATGATAATCTGAGGATGCATACATGGCATGATGAACTGGGAGTGATGACATCTGCCATCTCCTTGAACATATACCTTTTCCACATGTTGGAAACCTCCAGACTCTGTGCAGTGGAGGATGGCCCAAGTCCTTGGGCCCTGCACCCCATGGGAGACCAGGAAAAGCACCTGGCTCCTGGCTTCGGATCAGCACAGTGCGCCAGCCGCAGTGCGCCGGCCGCAGCAGCCATTGGAGGGTGAACCAACGGCAAAGGAAGACCTTTCTCTCTGTCTCTCTCACTGTCCATTCTGCCTGTCAAAAAAAAACAAAACAAAACAAAACAAAAACAAAAACAAAAACAAAAAACAAAAGGAGAGACCAATAAATCTTTATTCTTTCTCCTGCTCTCATAATTCTACGTGCAAATGACTATCTCTTTTTTTCTTTTTTGTATTTTAGATATACATATGCACACATATAGATCAATCTTCCATTTATTGGTTCACTCCCCAGATGGCTGCAACAGCCAAGGCTGGGCCAGGCCAAAGCCAGGAGCCGGGAGCCAGGAGCTTCTTCTGTGTCTCCCAGGCCATCCTCTGCTGATGTCCCAGGTGCATTAGCAGGGAGCTGGATGGGATGTGGAGCAGGCAGGAATTAAACCAGTGCCAATATGGGATGCTGGCATTGCGGGGGGCAGCTTTACCCGCTATGCCACAGCACTGGCCTTGTGAACGACCATTTCCTCTTCATTTGGAGGCACACTCTTTGAGCACAGGATCCGGAATTTCCACCGAATGCCGTAAGATGGACTTCCCTGGAATTCTGTGTAATTTGATTTCCTGGGACAATCTAGTCAGTGCTGAGTTGGGAACACATCTGATTCTACAAGTACTGGTGCTGAGATGCTTATTAGTCTAGTAGATATTTTAGTAAAATTGCTGTTTACTGGGCTCTAAATTCTGTGTCAGTACATGGAGACCAACTGGCAGGTCATACCCTACTCTGTTGAGTTCTCTGGTAAATGTATGTCCAGATCATTTCTCAAAAGAGGCAATGTGGCGGAGCCAAGATGGCGGAATAGTGAGGGCGCGCACCGATAGTCCGGGAAAATTTAGTTTAATAAAAGGGGAGTTACGGTAGCCTCAGAAAAAAGAACCAGGAAAATATTGCAGACAAAACTCTTCTGGATCCAGTGGGCGTGAATCGGAGGACCTACTGGGAGAACAAGGTCGCCCACCGCGCGCGAAAGCCGAACCGCAGGACCGAGCCGCGGGACTGAGCCGCGGAAGCCGAGCCGCGGGACTGAGCTGCGCAAGCTGCAGGGTCTGCGCGCAAGTGCTCGAAGGGGAGTGCAACAGCGGGGAGACTTGGGAAGTCCAGGGCTCCGAGTCCACACATCGGCGCTGGAAGGGGAGCAGACCTGCGTGGAGAGCGTGGGAGCCCACAGTTCGGGACGTCAGCGGCAGACTCAACACACCAGCGCTGGAACGCGAGGTGAGCCGAACCTCAATAACCCGAGACACCGGCAGGCAAGCGGAGAGAGGAGACTAGAGGGAACGACCCCCGGGGCGGGGGGGACTTCACCAAGCTAACTGGAAGAGAGAGAGAGGGAAAAAAAAAAAAGGTGACTGGTATGGACACGGGTTTCTCTCTCTCCGCTCACCTCTCAAGGGCGAGCAAGACAAAGAGCAGGCGCCATCTTGGACATACGTCATAAGCAGAGCGACCTCAGGTCTGCACTGGCCCTGAGCCTAGCAGAAAAACCTGACTCTGGGCGGGGCAAATTAACAGGAGATTAGGACCTAGTACATTTGTGGTGCTACTGAACCGAGACTGTGAAAAAAGAGACGGTGGGGGAGAGAACTCACGGAATTCACGTGAGCACTCTCCAGAGACGCTACAATTCCGTAACTTTGGCAACCCAGTGGGAGACTGAAGGAGAATTTGAGCCCACTCTAAGGGCCAAACAGATTCCCTGTGTGGTCCTTGGGAAAGAGCTTCTGATCTCTGGCTCCTGTGGGTATATCATTTGCCTGCTAACTACCTCCAACTTTGTTCAGCTGTGCAGAATAACTTCCCTGTTGAATCAAAAAAAAAAAGAGAGAGAGAGAGAGAGAGAGAGAGGTTTACCACGCCTAACCTGGGAGTGTCACCTTTGGCACACCAAACAGAGCTCTCAGGCCACACCCATCTCAAGCCCTAAGGCTCCATCAAAAACAGATAGTCCACTTAATCTAGAGTCATAGTATAACAAGAAAAAGCACCACAGTGAAGAAACCAAATATCTCCAATATGACAAATAACAAACGCAAAAACCAAGGTAATAAAAACAAGGAAGTCACCATGAAGCCCTCAAATGAAAAAGACACCCCAATT